CCCGATACTAAACCTAAGCTTCGCAAACATTTCTATGTTCAGTCACGGGATATTCAACTCTTGTTTAATTAAACATAATTAAAATGCAATTCTCCATTGTATTGCATTGTAATTGAGTTTAATTAAACTCCAATTAAAACGCAACCCTATATAGAAACGCGTTTTAATCAAGTTCATATCGCAACTATATTAAAAGTTAATCCAATGAAGTCCTCGGAACATATACCAATACAAGTATGTGTGTGTGTGTGTGTCCGCCTGTTGCACTGATATCTCAAGAACCATGCGTCAGTTTTTGATGAAACTTTGATTAGGTTTTGGTAAAAATCCATGCATATTAATTACCTAATTTGCATGATAATTAGCTGATTTTTAGCTGTTCCATGACTGTTCCACTGATATCTAAAGAACCACTCATTGGATTTTGATGAAACTTGGCACACAGATGCTGAAAACTAATGCGCAGATTCGATTAGTTTTGGATAAAAATCTGTCCAATATTAATTACCTAATTTGCATAATGATTAATCAATTTTTGGCTTTTCCACTGATATCTCAGGTACTAATCATCACATTTCAATGAAACTTGGTACATAGATGTCATAGGACACTGCACATACCTGATAGTTTTTAGGGTAATATGAGTACATATTAATAAACTAATTTGCATAATTAATTAATTTTCAGCTTTTTATATTTCAAGTAGTAATCGTCACATTTCAATGAAATTTGGTACATAGATGTCATAGGACACTGCGCAGACCTGATAGTTTTTAGGGTAATATCAGTATATATTAATTAGCTAGTTTGCATAATTAATTAATTTTCAGCTTTTGATATTTGAAGTAGTAATCATCACATTTCAATGACACTTGGTACATAGATGTCATAGGACACTGCACAGACCTGATAGTTTTTAGAGTAATAAGAGTACATATTAAGGTAGAGATGCACTTTATTTGTGAATTTCAATCAAAAATAGTTTTTTTCGTTTTTTATATAGATTTTTATCTAAAGAACATTCTGTGAAAATTTGACCAATGAATTCTTATTGGAACACCGTTAAAATTGCTGTTTATTTTCTGGTTAAAAATAAAAAACACTCACACGTGGCAATGTTTATGTCCAATTGCCTAATTTGCATGAGTAACCAAATAACAGGACCTTTGATTGACAATATGCAAATCGAGATTGTACGGGTCATAGTTCATTCAATTCACGCGCATGTGCAATTATTCTCAAATCAGTTCTCGCTCGCTAGCAAACCAAACATTATATTTCCTCAGCGTTTTTTCTTAAATTTTATCATTACATTATGCGTGGTGTGAAAAGAAAGAGAGGTAGAAAGAAGATTCAGATGATTTCTATGTCGGAAGATGCAAAAGCTACACTGAAGGCATCAGCCCACCGAACGAAAAACAAATCGATGTGAGCGTCCAAACATGACTTTCCCTGAAGGCATGAATCCGAGTTTCTGATTGACTGAGAGATTTTATTTTTAAATAATTGTTCTCAAAAAATAAACTGAGCATGTGAAGAATAATTTAACATTGTTTACAGTGATAACTGCTCATTGTCGAAACGAAGCTTACCCATTCACGCTAGTCACAATAAACATCATACTCTTGAATAGGCGTCAATGACTACGGTAAAACTTAGAAAATGACGTCAAAATACACCTTAAAAGTCCCATTTTATTTATTTTTTAAATCCCATCCCGAAT